AAAAAAAAATTTCCTAAAAAATAAATAAAAATTTTTAAAATAAAAATAATAATTTTTTTAATTTTAAAAAAAATTTCAACCGAAAATTTAAATTTTTTTTTCTGTTAATTTTTTTTTAAAAAAACAAAAATTTACCAATTTTTTTTTTTTTTGTAATTTTTTCCACCCCAAAAAAAAAAAAAAAAAAAAAAAAAAAAAAATTTATAAAAAACCGAATTAAATTGAAAATAAAAAGTATAAATAATTTATTCAAGATGTTGAAATTAGATAAAAATATAATTAAATTAGAAGATAGATAGATAGATACAATAATAATAATAATTTTTGTAGTTGAATCAAAATATATTTAAATTAAAAAAAATTAAAATAATAAAAATAAAATAAAAAAAAAAAAGGAGGTCTTTTGATTTTTTTTTTTTAAAATACATAAAAAATAAAAAAAACCAAAAGACTTCTCCTTTTTTTTAATTATGTTTTAGTTTTATTGTATTTTTATTTATTCACATTGTCATTTTTATAATTCAATTTAAAATCAAAATCCAAAAATTTTTTTTAGGACTATTGTAAAATTTTATTAATAAAATATAATATTTTAAATAAAAAATTAATATATAGATATATACATACTCTTCTTTTTTTGTTTTATCTTGATCGTAACTATTTGAATTAAGGCAAAATGGGGAACAACTTGATCAGTAGCAGTAGAGTAAGGTTTGAACATACCACAACCTTTTTTGTCAGGGTATTTATTCTTTACGCATTTCTAGTACCTCTTGGTTTCTGTAGTAATTCAGGAACAACTTGATCGGTAGCAGTAGAGTAAGGTTTGAACATACCACAACCTTTTTCATCAGGGTATTTATTCTTTACGCATTTGTAGTATCTCTTGATTTCCATTGGAATAAAGACATTATTTATTGTAGATGCATGAACGTAGAGTTATCTATATGGTCAGCGTTACAGATTTTAATCGAAGTATCTTTATAAAATGGAATGAATGCATGCTTTTTTGAATTGGGAGCACATGGGTATCCAAGGAAAGTAGTTTTTAATTGAAATATACGATTATTTCTTCAAGACTATTAACCAAGGCAAAATCTTGTGCTTTAACGAGAGATGATACTGGATGAATATCAATTTTAGATTTTTTAATTTTAAAATGATAACAAAGATCATCCTCTGATCCAGTTACAGGAAGTTGTATTAAGCATGGATTAAAGAACATTTTTTTGGCATCTTCACCATATTTTTCTAAAATGTTAATAAAAATTCAAAAAAAAAAACTTTTTTTCGATTTAAAATTTTTTTTTTTTTTTTAAATTAAAAAACATAAAAAATTAAAAAAAAAAAAAATTTTAAAAAAAAAAAAGGAACTCCATTTGATAAAACTTTGAGGATAAAAAATTAATTTTTATCAATAATTATTTTTTTCTTTTTTCAAAGAGAGGATAGTATTTTTTATTAAGAAAAAAAAAACTATATTTTAAATTTAGGAAGAACTTATTCGTTTGACAATATAGAAAGAGGAGGTGAACCAATTGACTGATTAAAAAAGACATGAGAACCTCTTGAGAATAGTAATGAAAACCAGTTCAATAGTAATGGTCTAATTAAGGTTCATAAAGTGTTTATCAGGATTGTTGTCCATCCCTATCTAAATCCAATACAATTTAATAAAAAACTCATATCTTGGTTTTATAAAATAATATAAGTTTTAAAATAAATTAAATGTTTTATTTTTTTTTTATTTTTTTTTTTTTTTTTTTGAGACTTTTGTTTTTTTTTTTTGAGACTTTTGTTTTTTTTATAAAATTTTCATATTTTTTTTAAAAAATTTTGTTAAAAAAAAAAAAAAAAAATTTATTTTTAAAAATTTAATATCCCACAATTCATAAATTTATAATAGTTGAATATATATGAACTGCATTCATTTGAACAAATTACTTCTTGAAGCCTTCTGGCTTTGATCATGTGTAGTATCTGTTCTAGAAAGCTTAATCTCTTTCTGATATCTCATGTAGATATCATTAACGATTAAACTAATTTCTTTAGAGGGCAGAGAACAATATGGTTAGTGCTTGCATTGACCCGTTCTCTCATGCATTTGCTCTGTATTGCACTATTTCAGAGATTCTAAGGTGCACCTCTTCCACATTTTTATTAAATTTAAAGAAAAAATATTTAAAACTAATTAGTTTTAAAAACTGAAATATTTTTTTATTCATGAATAAAAAATTAAATTTATTTCAAATTTTTTTTTTAAAAAATTCATTTAAAAAAATTTTCCATATTAAATCCATTTTCCATTAAATTTATTTAAATTTGAGAGTTACTTAAAAAAAGAGTATAAAAAATAATAAATATTTGAATTTTATTTTATTTTTATTTTTATTTTTATTTTTATTTTTATTTTTATTTTTATTTTTTTATCTTTTATGGAATTAAAAGTATTTATAAGAGCAACAACAGATTTGCATAAATAATATCTGTTCCAAATATTACTATTTTTGAATGGCGCCCAAGTAATAAAATTATAATTCTCTATTGGTTCACTTTTTGATAGTAATTGATTTGCATGAAGATATTCGAGTATTTCACATGAATAATTGTAATCTGAATTAATAAGTGATACCATTGAAGGAATATCCATAATAACTTTTAAATTTTGATTCATACCAATAAGTATTGATTTTAGTTGATTGAACATATTAAAATTGCCAAATGTAATAAACTTGAGTAGCAATGATTTTTTTCTAAAAATTACATTATTTTTTTTAAAAAAATCTATTAAAAATTCTTTCTTTGTTTCTAAAATGTATTTCATTATAATGGATTTTTTCCGAAGAGCCAAAATCATCATATAAACCTGACCAATATGATATTTAATTGTGATTGTATTATAATATTTTTCATTATAATAGTTAATTAGCTTGGTGTTGTTTGATGGTATTAAATTAAAGATAAATTCTTTTGGTATATAAATATTTGTCAAATTTTGGATAGTAAAAACCTTTCCTAGCTAAATATAAAAAAAATTCTAAAGCATTTTCATCTATTAAATTACTGCCATTAATAATTATTTCAATATTTTTGGTTCTTTCTATAACAATAGCTAGGGTTAAACTAAAATCTTCTTTTTCTAATAGTTTCTCTATTTCTTGTTATATATCAATATTTAAGCATTCTTTAAATAGATTTGTTTTCTTTTTGTATCATTGAAAAGACTAGCCACATTATTTAATGAAAAAATGGGAACTTTATAGTCTCCTATACTAGTATTAATGAGATTGTTTTTTAAAGTGTGAATAATATATTTTATAATTTGGTTTACTATTCCTTAAACAATAATCTAATAAAGTGAATATTTTATGTGTTTGATTGTTATTATTAAAATATTTATATAAATCTAATGAATAATGTTGGTTTTGTTTTCCGGCTATTGATTCTAATATATTAAATCTTTTTAATTTATCCCCATATTGTTTCCATAATAAATCAAACATTTCTTCAAAATATCGATTGTAAATATAGTTTTCACATAGTTCATCTATACTTTCTTCATTAACTATCATAGGTGTATTTGATTTTAGCTTGTTTAAAATAATTGAATATCTTCCTTCCTCTATCATAGTGAGCAAATCAATATCCAAAGGAGATTTTTCCCGGATGAATGATAAAATATATTTGAAGATAATTTTATTCCTTATTATTTTAAAAAATAAAATTTCATTATATGGCATTGTTGACGACAATGGTAACATATCATTATTATTACTGATATTATTAATATTATTTTTTAATACTTTTGAATATGGATGATATTTATTTTCATTTTATTTTTATGTATAACCCTTAAAATGTGTAATATAAATAAAAACAAAAAAAAAAATTTAAAATAATTATATTTATTTTTCTCTTATTTATTATATTTCTTTTATAAACAAAATAATATTTTTTTAAATTTTTGAAGAATATCCTCAACGGTTAAGATAGTTTTATGGTATAATCGGTTTTAAAAAAAACAAAGTTTCTTACGAGTCACAGATTAAATGACAAAAGTTTTAATTTATGAAAAGTGTGAAAAAAATTTAGAAATTCGTTCGGCCGAAAAAATTTTGAAAAAAAAAAAAATGAAATTTTTTTTAACTTTTTTGAAACCCATAAATCCTCAATTTTATTGAAATATTTTTATATTCAAATTAATGAAAATTAAAAAATTAGACCTTACTCTTTGGATCATTTCTATTAGTATCGTCTATTAAAATTATTCATCAATAATTTTTCTCAAAAACCCCACGGATGAAGATGCACATTCACTTTACATAAGCGGGAAGCCGTGTAATAGTTTTGATTCTATCATTTCTATTATACATTGATGATCGTCTATCTCAGGGATGAGATGGTTGTAAGGTGAAATTCTTACGTGGATTAACTTTTTATAAATTTAAAGAAAAAATATTAATTATAATTGGGTAGCAGTTATCTATTTAAAATATAAATAAATTATTATTTTTAATATATAAAATATTTTAATATATAAAAAAAACCCATAAATTATTAATTTTTGCCCAATAATTTTATAAACAAAAATATTACTCTTAACAAATCAGACCTTACTCTTTGGATCATTTCTATTAGTATCGTCTATTAAAATTATTCATCAATAATTTTTCTCAAAAACCCCACGGATGAAGATGCACATTCACTTTACATAAGCGGGAAGCCGTGTAATAGTTTTGATTCTATCATTTCTATTATACATTGATGATCGTCTATTTCAGGGATGAGATGGTTGTAAGGTGAAATTCTTACGTGGATTAACTTTTTTAAATTTAAAGAAATTTTTTTATTTATAATAAATATTTAATTAAAAGATATCAATTTAAACTGATTAATAAAATATAAAAAATAACAATAGAAATAACAATAGAAATTAGAGTGCTTAAGTAAATACACCATAAAAGAAAAAGGTTGTTATAATCTTCCTTTTAAAGTTGGTTTTGGAGTGGTTTCGTTTTGGGATTTAAACATAAATAAAAAATAAATAAAAAACTAAAAAAAAAAACTACTATTATAATAAATTTTATTTTTAAATCTTTAGAAGAAAGAAACAATTAAAATTAAAATTAAAACAATTAAAGAAGGAGTAGTGTAAAATGACGAATTTACACTATCTTCAGATGAGGAAAACGATGATTGTGACGAGGTTTGAGTTGATCCTGATGATTCAGGAACATCGGAACTATCGATTGTATAGTTATAGGATGGGCACATTTTATAGAGTTCAGTTTGGCCACATCCAAAAAATTGTGAATTAAAGCATTTGTTTTTATAATCACAATATTCACGACTACATGATTCTTGTAATACATAGTTGTTCGTATTTACAGATACACCGAGGTTATCGGCACAAGTCATTATAGCAGAGGTTGCATTTTTACATTCAGCATCAAACTTATAATGAATTTTACAAACCCCATTTTCACCAACGGCACTATTAATACACTTGCAGGTTTCGTATGAGCTACATGAAACAGTACTATTGCATGCTTTTTCTTCATATTTAACACATTTACCACGTGAACACTACATTGTTTAAAAATTACTTAAATTTTAAAATTTTTATTATTTTATTTTCTATGTAGTTAAATAGTACACTTACTATTAGACCAACATCGCATGGATTGTTTGTTGGTAATAATGTTTCTGGAGCTATACAATCATCATTTTCTTTCCCAGAGAATATTGGGACACAAATACCATAAATACAAGTGTATCCGGTGGAGCATTCATTTGAGGACTCACAATTTCTTGAAGTTTTAGGTACACATACTCCATCTCCATTATTTCCAGAACTTGATACTCCAACTAAAAAACAATAGTAATTATAAGGACAGTTATTATCTATTTAAAATTTTAAAGAAAAAATTAATTTTTTATATCTTTTAATTATTATAAAAAAAATGTTTACCTGAATAGCAGATATTTGTTTGAGGTGGAACGCATTTTGAATTTTCACATCTATTTGAAGCACAATTTTCTGCTCTGCTGCATGGGGCATTGGAATCGGATAATTCAGCAATGTATGGTAAACAAACCCCAACTGTATCATTTTTCTTTGTACACATATTAGTTAAAGTACATGTATCTTTGGTAATTGGTAAATTGGGATCGCAAGGATCCATTGAAACACAGACATCTCCAACACATTTTAAACCTGGTGCACATGAACCTTTACAACTTTCTCCTATTTGAGGGCATTGATTGAAATTGAAACATGCTCTAACAGTTTCTAAATTTATCCATAGAATTAATAAAAAAATATAAATAAAAATTATTTTCATTTTTTTTTAGTTTTATTTGTATAAATAATTTTTAAAAAAATAAATTGATTTATCAAACTGTGAAAAATAAAATATTTTAAATTTTTAAAAAAAAAAAAAAAAAAAATACTGAATATCAAAGAAAAGGTTGCAATCTCCAAAATAAATATTGTAAAAAAAGTTATCAGATATTTTAAAAAAAAAAAAAAAAATTTTTATTAATTTAATAGAGCTTAATTTAGTTCCGAAAATTAGATAATTAATTGACAGAAAATAAGTATTGGTATTATTGTCAATTAAATAACCAATTTTCAATTGATGGACCATATTGGGTATATCGACCTCTGAGTTTTTAACAACAAAATGTTTTTTTTGATTAAAAGAGGCTTTTAAATTGTTTTTTTTTTTAAATTTCATGAATTGTCTTCATTTTACACTTTTTTGAAAACACCAATATTAAATCTTGATAATTAAAATTTAATTATATATGTTGTATTTTGTTAATTTATTGTATTATTCAAGATTTAGGTAAAGGGTAAGTTTTAAAATATCAATATTTAATAATTTAAACAAATATCATTTTAATTAATGGTGGTTTTAAAAATAGGGTCGTGATTCAAAGAATAATTGTAATAATTAAAGATGGGTTTGTATATATTATAAAATTAAAAAAGTTTGATTTTAAATTGTCCCGTGTAATTATTTTCAATTACTTTAATAATCTATAAAAAAACTAATTACATTTATGATCTCGATAAAAAAATTTCTATTTTTTTTTTTTTAAATGATATATACATTTTACTTTTAATTTTATTTTTATGAACTGGTGGAGAAATTTAAAGTTCCATATTGATTATCTAAAACAGTTCCATATGGGCCAGTGTTACCAATACCAATCGATGGTGAATAGAAACTAGTTGGTTGCACACCAACTTGTTCAAAAGCTAAAGTTAAATTATCGACTTCATCCCAAGCTAAAGTGACACTATGATAATAGTAAAAAAAAAAAAAAATTATTATTTTTATTCTATATTAAAAAATAAACAATAAATAAAATACTAGATGAAAACATACTGTGGTTGAAATTGATCATAAACATTTGGTGAACCATATTTTTTAATCATTGCAATTTTTTCATCTCTTAATGGTTCTGGTAATTGGTAAACCCAATCAGGAATAGTTTGATTTGGGGTGATATATTGATAGGTATTATTAACAATAAGATCTGATAAAAATTGTAAACATGGGCTATTTTGAACTTCCCACATACCATATTGACCTGAAACTAAAATAGTTGTCATACCAACTAAACAATTTTTACCTTGTTGTTCGAGTAATGGAAAAATTTGTTTTAATCTATAATTTTTTTTTATTTTTTTATTATTTTTATTATTAATAAAAATTATTTATTTATATTACTATTTTATTATTTATTTTATTTATATTTGTTTATTCTTACTCGTTTTGAAGTGATGGAATTTGTTCCTCAACAAAATCTGTTAAATAAAGTGTAATATGTGGTATTGATAATTTTCCTAAAAATACTTGATCATTTGGTGCATACTTGTGTAATAGGTCATTATAATTTATAGCGATATCATTTGTAGTAGCATCTAAATTTAAATGAATATCTAATGAGATAGATTTAACCGAGATAATTGTAAAAATTAAAAAAATTATTATAATATTTAATTTCATTTTAATATATTTATAATTATTTATTTTTTTATTATTATTATAAAAAAAAAACTATAAAAATAAATAATAAATAATTTTTTTTTGATAATTATTAATCTGGGTATAAAAAAAAAAAAAAAAAAAAAAAACCTATAAAAATAAAAAAAATGAAAAAATAAAAAATTATTTTTTAAAAAAAAAAAAAGGGAAAGAGAAAGGGTTTTACACAGTTCACTCACCTATAATATCACAAAAATCAATTGTTTTTTTTTTTTTTTTGGTTAAATTTTTAAAAAGTTAAAATTTAATTATAAAAAACCTTTAACCAAATTTTTTTTTTTTAAAAAAAATTTCTAAAAAAATTTTTTTAAAATTTAAAAAAACAAATTTTTTTTTTCATTTAAAAAAAAACC